AAGCCATATACTAGCAGACCTGCCCGAAAATTGCCGAACCCCATGTCCTATATTTGTGAAAACCAAAACTGAAAATCTGAAAACTCCGGAAACCAGTGAGAATCTGAAAAACGACGCCAGAGCCGGAGCCCAGGAACGCCTTGAATAAGCGGATCAGCAAGATGAGCCTCCTGAAGGACAGGTTCGACAACAGCGGCAAGCTCTCAGAGACGCAGGAAGAGCTGCATGGAAGATTATATGGAGTGGGATATAGCTTGACACTAGACTGACTACTTGCCTGGGATCCTGTATAAGGTTTAGATCTGCCATCGCGAAGAATATCGAACGCATGAAGAGCATCGACGTGGAGATTTCAAGCCTCTACTCCAAGTCCGTGGTTCAGGGCTTCTCCAAGGCGTGTCTTAGTTCAAGCAACATAGGCTACGATCTTTTGCTTGATAACGAGTTCTAATTTCTGAGGGCTTATATATGATGTATGTAGCAGCAGCTATCTAAGGTCGCAGGCAGCAGCGCGCGAAAAGATGACTGAAGCTCAGAGTTGGTCCCTTGGCACGAGTCCTCTGCTAAATTGTATGTTCCGATTCCTGCGATACTTTATAGCTCGCATGAAGCCTTCAATCCTAGGGCTGCAGAGTCCCTGGGCCTCGAAACCCGCTGCAGGCCGGTGGCCCACCAAACTTATATACCCCTGTAACCCCGAACCCGCTCGATTCCATATTGCTGGCAGGCCCTTCATGCCGAAAGCAGTGAAGCCCAAAGCAGCGCCGAAGAGGGAGGTGAAATCCAAAGCCAAGGCCAAGGCGAAGGCTGTTCCGAAGACTCGGCCAGAGCCACCTGCTGCCAAAAGGCAGAAGAAGTGATCTTTTGTGGTTTCCTGATGTGATGATTTGCAGCTGCCTATCTTGCTTCGAAGTGAGCATGTGCGCAGTAGAGTCGATGTTGCGGTAGGTTCCTGCCAACAGCTCTAGAGTCTGTCACACACATGTACGATGTCTTGCAATAACATGCACATATCCTGAAGTCTTGTATGAAACGTGTGTTGTTTCGAGGTCTTCAAAAAGCTGTTGGAGTGAACCCTCTGTAGGATGCAGCCGTCAGACACATTCTGATGAAGTGTTTCGACAACTGTGTTAATGGTTCCTATATAACAACCTGAGCTTTAAGTGTGTTTCAACCTGCTTTCCCAGAAACCTGGTGTAAACCTGGTCTAAATTCTTAAGAATCATTGCACACAGAAGCCAGCCGATTGCATGTACCGCTTGTACAGTCTGGTACGCCGTGCACAATTCATGTACGATCGAAGGGCCGGCTCTTCTGGGAGAGCAAAGAAAACCTGTCAATCTGACCAGACCCTGCATTTACGGTCGTGCATGCAAGCTAGCACAATGTATGTTTTTTCTACAGTGTCTGTTGTCTCACATGCCAGGTCAGCTGGAAGAAGAACGGCTTGATATCAATGGGCCTGGGCATTTTGCCCAAGCCTATGCTGAAGCCTTTGCAGATTGCGCTGCGGCCTGAGGTATTCAATCAGCCAATGTTCGTAATCAATCTTTTAATACCACTTGACCCAACAGCCCGAGTGTATACCCCCTTGGCGAATCTCAAAGCCCCGAAAACTTCCGAGATGCTGAAGTCTAATCTATTTCTAGATCTGACATTACCAGGTCCCAGCTACAACACTGCAGACCTTGGCAGCGAATGCCAAATCCGATGCGCACCCAGACCTCGGCAGGTCTACGGATCCGACACAGAATCTAGGTAGGGGGAGTAATTTATTTCTTTTCGTTAGAATGCAAGATAGAAGTTCTATGCTGTGTTCATATATTATGAATTTTTGTCGGCTTAGGAATGCTTTTCGTGATGCCGATCGCTTTGTGAAAAGATGGGGGCTGCGTTTCAATATTCCAATGACAACGTACAAACATTCCTCGGAGTACGAGGTGCCCTACCTTTCTCCTAGGGCACTGCTGACACACCATTTGACAAAGGCGCCGGAGCTACTGTTTGGAGGTGTGCACGATCTGGAGGCCGCCAAGACCCTGCTTCAGACGTTTTGGGATGCATACAAATTAAGTCACCCTGAACATCAGGTCTTCAGTGAAGCTGCTGCAGGCACCCTGCTGTTGCGCACAACAATTCCTGTTCTTGTCCACGGGGACGAAGGAAGGGGGATCAGAAAAGGCAACACAACAGTGTGCTCCCTCGAGAGCCCTTTCGGCCTGGACAGCAACACTTCACACAAGTACGACATCATGGACTGCTGCCAAGAAGATGCTGATGATGTTCTACAATGCGACTTTCAAAACTTGAATCTGAAGTTCCACTCTTACTTGACCAAGTTCCTCGTTTTCCTACTCCCTGGCAAGATTTACAAGAACAGCGACGTCATGACAGGGCTTTTGGAAGTTGTATTCCGAGACCTCCGGTCTCTTTTCTACGAGGGCATCGTTGTTGGCAGGCAGGTTTTCAACGTGGCTTGTGTGGGCTGTAAAGGAGATCTGGCTTGGTTTGCCAAGCTTGGTCAGCTGGACAGGTGCTACCTTCACCTGTCTAATGATGGTGCACTGATGTGCCACGAGTGCCTGGCTGGAACCCCTGATAAGCCCTTCGAGGATTTAACAGCAGCGCCGGCTTGGTCAAGTTCTATATATCAAGTGCGTCCATGGTCAACAGCGCCAACGACCGGACTGCTTCAGGTGCCGTTCGACAAAACGAAGCCCGAAGCAATACTTCGAAGAGACATCTTCCATAACACCAAGGTGGGCGTTCTGCAGGACTATATAGCTAGCAGCATGTTGCTTATTGCCCATTTGGGGTATTTTGTCGTGCCTGAAAGGGTTGGGAATGGTGTGGACGCTACACTGGGACGCATGTTTGCTCACTTCAAGCTGTTTTGCTCTGCAAAGGGCGCATCGCCGAACATGCATGGTTTCAACAGGAGCTACCTGAATGCCAAGACAAAGAAGCATTATCCATGGGCTAAGTGCAAAGGGTCCGATGCCATGCTTTTGCTGGAATGGCTGAAGGTGTTATGTACTGCATGCTTGAACAGACTCCTGAAACCCGATGATGCAAGGCTCCTCGAAGGCATCCATACAGGGGCTACTGCAGCTCGTACATTTCTGCACAGCATGTACCAGCATGGCTTGTGGTGGAAACAATCCTGTGCCAAGTTTATCTTACATCATGCCAACAGGTTTTTGAAATGCTACCATTTCATGGCTTATGTTTGCCTACATGAGCTGAATGGTTTCGCTGGCTTTGCCATGAAGCCGAAACTGCATATGCTGTGCCATGGTGTGCACGAGATCCGAGAACGCATGCCACACAAACGGCAGCCGTCATCCCTCATGTTTGGCTGTGAAGCCAATGAAGATTTCATTGGCAGAGTTTGCCGCTTATCGAGAAAAGTGCACCAGCGCCGTCTATGTGAACGTGTGATTAACATGTACCTGGCAAAAGCTTTTGCCCTTCGTAGGAAGTACTTGCGATCCCCACAGTGTGGAAAGAAACGCAAGCGTAATTAAGGCCCGGGCCTTTCGATGGTGGCATTGGAGTGCATGGCGGATAATCCGGATGTCGTTTGTCCCTATATAAATTAACCTTAAAGGGTGTCGACCTGCTGTGTAACTCACGTTGGATACTGCCCCCGATCAGGTTGAACTCATGAGAAGTATACAACACATATAGCCATACCACACATATAATACATAGTCCAAATTGAATACCTATATATATATATATATATATCTTTACATTTCTGTACGGAGGCAGTACCCAACATATTCTAGACCCCCTATACCTATACCTGTATAGGTCACTCGATCTAGATTTCCGGAACGTTCTGCTCCGCTGTGCGCAGAAGGTGGCCGCCAAAGTGTATGTTGGGAGATATTCTGAGAATTTTAGTCTTAGAAGTGTTCGGGTATAAGTATATAGTGTCTTTAATTAGATCTCCTGCTGTCTGACTTCTGCACATGTACAGCTGTCAATTCGCACCAAACTTCGAGAGCACAAGCCGGAAAACTTCGCGAGGCTCTTGGCCGCTTGAACACCTCCCGGAAAGACTCTCAAGCCCAAGTCCCTAAAGTAAGATCCTCTCCACTAGGCCAAATGGACCTGAACTTTGGACACTTTTCTAGATGGTCCCGACACTATAGCTATAGTCGACCCCTTCCTAAAGCCAGTTAATGCAAATAATGTTCTAACACCTCAACATATCGCCAGGCTGAACGACAAGCAAGGCCCTACATCCCCGGATTAGTGTCCCGTGCCTGCATCAAGTGAATGTAAGCCACATAACCCAAACCTGATAATCAATAAGCAGCTATGACGGAGAGGTGAGGCCTGGGCTATTGGTTTCCATTTGATGGGTCAACGGTCCTTTCAGGTTCGGGTGTTTTTCTGCTGTGGCCTTCTGCCCAATGCGAAGACACCAAAACCCGAAAGGATGCTATTATTTAGGGTACTATATTGGCCTAGGGTCCTCTATTTTCGGAAACCCTCATATATGCTATATATGGGTTCAGGTCAATAGTCTTCGGCTTTGAAGTGCTTTGGAATTGAGTTAACGAGTATCCATCCGTCCATTCTACCAACCACAACCATCCATCCATTCATCCATCCATCCACCTATAAATCATCCACCTGTCCATCATCCACCTGTCCATCCATCCAATGATGCATCTGTCATCCGTCATACACCCATGCATCCATCACATGTCTTGCGCATACACATCATGACGGCTGTATATGGGTGTCTTGTCTACTATCAGTCCAATGTAGGGCATGGCACTTTTGAAATCACGGCTGTTGTCCGGCAAAACCCAGCCAGAAATCGAAACGACTCTTTTTAATTGAATCGCCTATTTTTAATCGAAGCGCCTGAAATTAGTGTTGTTTAGCCAAACGCCTAATATTTCAGTCCCCGGATTCTATAGGTACCCTTCGGCCTCCTCTACCTCTGCCTCCTGGGGGCCTTAGGGTTACCACCAGAATCGCTAGAACCTCCTCCTGCATCCTTGTTCTTCCTTATGTCGATCGGGCTCCAGCAGTCCTTGACAAGATGTGTCGTTTTGCCACACTTGTGGCACTTTTCCTTTTCCCTTTCCTTGCCCCTTCCCCATTGGGATGGCCCCAGAGTCATCCACGGCAAAGGCTCCCCTGTTCTCGGCGAAGGTTACGATCTCCCGCCGTAGCAGGTCGTACGTGGTGAGTCGTGGAAGCTTGAGCTCGAGGTGCGACTGCAGCTCAGCAGGCACCAACCTGAGCAACGAAGCCATCTTCTGGCGCTCCGTCAGCGCCGTGCAGTCACGACGGGCAGCATACCGCCGATGCTGGTCCTCCCATCTCTCCGCTGCAGCGATCAAGTCGCTCACTTCGGCTACCGGCTTCGTCGACATGAGCTGCCGGAGCCACCGAAAACTGGTCACCATATCCGACGAATCCAATCTCCCATGGAGCCGCCGATACATGTCCAGGCCGGACCCTGGACTCGAGTTCATCGTGATATCTCCCGGGTGTCCATAGTCAAAGTACCCAGGACCACCTCCAACTGACGATTAAACTCCTGAACCTTCTCCGGAGTCACTCCCTCCACCAGCTGATCCCTCAGCCCACGGTGATCTCCTCATCTTGGGTCCGAGCCCAAGTCAGGATTGTCCGGGTATCCGGAAACTGGATTTTGAGCCAAAGCTGCGCGGAGGTTGGGTCGCGTATTGGGCTCACTTTTTCTACTTCGCTTGTGCCTTGAGGGGCTGCGGTTGTAAAGTTTAAGCACAGTTGGCTCAAACCCCTTAACTCTCTACAAGCTACAGCTACATGCTAGCCTAAGGCTACTGTAGACTACAAAAATCTCGCACCCCCCTTAGAGGTTGGGGTTTGAGAAGGCCTCCCGCGGGGCATCCCGCAGTCAGAGGGTGAGACGCCCCTAGTAGGGCGGAGCGTCCCGCGCACAGGGCTGGCAGCCGAAAGGCTCGCCCTGCGGTGCTACCCGCTAGGGGCCCCTTAGGGTGGAGGCACCCACTGGCGGGAGTTGTTCACCGCACTGCCGGGCTTGGTGCTCTGGTGCCCGTTGCGGCAGTGGAGACACACCCTGTGTCTAATTGTTGCCCCTTCCATGAATGGGCAACCTTGCTGTTGGCCGTGGTACCGGCGCACAACGCGGCCGGTGGCCACTTGAAAGGCGAACCCGGTCCAGAGGAACTCGGAGTTCTGAGGATCTGCTGCACAGTGGCAGCGAAAGCCGATCAGGACTTGATCCGGCGGGACGGAGCTCAGCCCATTGCAGTTGGTGAAAAGATGGATCTTGTCACCACGGGCTGTCTCGTAGAGATGCTCGTCGTCCCCGGACAGGGGTTCCGGTGCGCCGCACCCTCGGTGCAGCGGGCGGCGGTGGTGGAGGAGCTGCCGCAGGGGGCGGACCTGGAGTCCGCTCACCCTCAGGTTCTGCCTCCTGAGCCCCCCTAGGCTGTTGCTCCCTCCTTTCCCCTTGCGCCTCTTGCGGCGCTTCTGGCCCTAGCCAGACCTCCGTGGCCCTTCGGGCTGCACGCGGCGGCTCTTCGGCACGCTCGGCGTGGTGCTCGATTTCTTCCTCGGGCTCCGGCTCCTGCCTGTCACGCCTGCACCTGCAGAGCCAGGAGACTAAGCCCCAAAGCATCCAAGTAAGCCTATGGCCGCGAAGCCGAGCACCAGCTCTGCGAAGTCGTGCCCTTGGGCCTTGGCAGGTCGAACCTGCAGCGCCACGATTGTGGCCATGAGCGCCGAGCTCGTGAGCTTGGTCGGCGGTCTCATCTTCCAGGGGCTAGCCTGGATCGTCTTGATCGTGCCCTTTTGGGCCAGAGCCTCGGTGGCGCCTGCGACCGCATCGAGGTCCACCATGCCCATAGAGGGCAGGGATTGCCGCACCTCCGGTCCAGTCTTCGCGTGCTTGGTAGCGAAGTTTGCCGGGTTTTCGGTTCCCTTAACTTTTCTCAGTTCGAGAAGTTTGGCTCTGAGCGCGCCTTGGACAAAGAATTCCGCGACTTCCAGGTGTCTCAGCTTGGACCCTGGGCCTATTCGCTTGGCGGCACGCCGCAGGCCAGGGCAAAGTCCTTCTCCGCAAGCTCTCGTAGGAAGACAGCCTCCCTTGCTGCTCTTGACACTCCCCGGATCTCCGCGTCTCCGCTGGAGGTGGCTGGGAGGCCAGGCTGTGTCTGGCAGCTTGTCTGGATGACTGCTCCCCCGAGACAGGCAACTATGTTGTCTGTGCTCCTTCTCGTTTCTGGGCACCCTGCCCAGTCGGAGTCGGAGTAGACCTCCAAGTTCAGAAGGGCTGTGCTCTTGGACGCGGGGTCCAGCACAACTACCCTTCCAAACCGCGGGGTTGCCCGCAGGTATCGCGCGAGGGTTTCCGCAGCGAGCCAGTCGCAGACCCTGGGGTTCTGCATCCTTCGTGCCAGCTCTTTCACGGCGAACTGTATGTCTCGCCTGTCCGCCGATAGGTAGATAGCGCTACCCACGGCGCTGCGGAACCTCGCGGCGTCACCCGCGGAGAGCTCCTCGACCTTGGTCAGGTCTAGAGGTCTGCTAGGCACGGTCCCCTTGTCTTTTGGACCGATGCCCAGCTGCTCGCACACATTCTCTGCGTGCTTGCTGTCGGGCAGCGTGAGGATAGAATCCTCTGTGCGCACCTTGGTCCTTCCCAGGACCTCCACCGCTGTGCCCGGCTCTTCCAGTTCTCCCACCGTTATCTCACAGTGCGTCGGGAGGTCCACCTCCGTGAACTTCAGCACTGCGGCCTTGGGGCCTGCGACACGGATGTCGTCGATATGGTGGAGAAGGATCAGGCCGGACCGGCGGTCTAGGTACACGCACGGGTCCTTCACGCCACGCTGGAAGTCGTAGTCCTTTGCCAGCTTGCCGGTAAGGACTTCTTCCAGCTCGTCCCTGTAGACGGAACCAGCCGTTCTTCGGCCGTAGAGGTTGCCGTCCACTCGGAACACAAAGTCCCGGAAGTGGTCTCGGTACCACTGCTGGTCCTTTGCAGGCTGCTCCAAGACCCATTGGTCAAAGAGTTCGCGCCACTCCACAGGCGCATGCATGTAGACCGGGCGGCCTTCCGCCGCACCGCGGTCTCTCCCTATGAGGAAGGCGGCCACAATATCCAGAGACCTTGTGACCCACCCCTCGTTGTGTAGCGCTGCTACCTCAAGTAGGGAGTGACTCTCGGGCGTTGGCGTTGGGACGAAAACGTCCAAGCCAGCTTCCTGTTCTGGGCTGTAGCGGGCCTTGACGTCGGCACAGGTACACCTTGACTTGTACCGCCCTTTGTCGCACTTGTCGACCCACTTTGCCCTGAACAGCTGCGCCCCGCGCGGTACTTCAGACCGCAGCACAGGCGTGAAAGCGCCTCGGTCCCACAGCTTTCTTAGCTGCTCCTTGCGTGCCTGCTCGACCTGCTTGGGGTCGAGCATCCGGTCTAGCAGGTCTGTCACCTGCCCAACCCACGCGTCCCGCTCGCCCTTGTGGTTGGTGAGCGGCGGGTCGGCTAAGGCAGCGATTTGTGGTGCCTGGCTGGAAGAGGCCTCCTCCTGCTGGAAGGTCCTCCAGTCCCACTGGGAACTCCAGTCGGAGTCCCAGTCCCACCAGCCCCACCACTCGGACGTGGCGGCTGGTGGGTGGCGGTTCGGCCCGCGCACCCTAGGAGCGTCGGGGCCTACCGAACCAGCTCCGCTACCATGCGCGGAGGTTGGGTCGCGTATTGGGCTCACTTTTTCTACTTCGCTTGTGCCTTGAGGGGCTGCGGTTGTAAAGTTTAAGCACAGTTGGCTCAAACCCCTTTACTCTCTACAAGCTACAGCTACATGCTAGCCTAAGGCTACTGTAGACTACAAAAATCTCGCAAAAGCTCCAACCGGTAGTTCCACTGGCGCCATGCACGTGAGGCTTCCTCCAGTGTTCCTCCTATCTTCTCGGGTCGGCCTATGGCCTTTGTGTCTACCACAGTTCCTCGAGGCCTTTGGTCCTGTTCCAGCAACCTCTGGATCTGGCCCATCTGTTCCTGTTGCGTCTGCAGCAGCCTCATCAAGAGCTGCTCTCCTGTTCCAGCAGCATTCGCTCCTGCTCCCGCCATTGCTTCTCTTTCCTAGGCAAGTCCCGAACCGGGCCTTCCCTTCCAAACAGCCGTGTGCGTCGCCGAACGACGCCACCCAGGACCCTCGAGATCCTATCCAGCAATCCCCGCGGGAAGTCCTGAAGCCTAAGCCCCAGGTTGTGGAACAACCTCTGGTACTTGCGTACCCTTCGCAGCTTGGCCAGCAGCCGAACCCAATTCCTCTGTGCGCGCTCTGGATCGTGAACCAATCTCCTCCCCTCACTCCGAGGTCGTGCCCTTCTAACCACAAGCGGCACGCAAGAAGAGTGTTAGCACCATCAACCAGGTGCTCAGCTACCATGAAACGCTATTTTAGCAACCGCGCACTTGAGCCAAAAGATAACGTCAGTGTGAAACAACTTTACATGAGACCCATACCCAAACTATACCCCAAATCCAGTCAGTATATATATATATATACACATATGTACATATGGTAACCCCCTAGGACCAACATCGGAATTGCAATTGCTCATGTGGGTGCTCCTGTGCTATTGCCACCCCATAAACACTGCTAAATTCCGCGTCCGCCAGTGTTGTCTGTTGGGCTTTGTTAAGGCAGTCCCACCCAGTCCCCGCCCCTCCACTCCCCCCTTCCATTCCTCCTCCCCCTCCCACCCCCGCCGCTCCCCCTCCACCACTGAAAACTAGCCCAGGTTCTAGGGCTAGGGCCTTGAGTCTAGGCCAAAGATACTGAAAGTCTTGCGTAAAACCAATCCCCTGTAGCCTGCAAGATCTTGGCTCAAGAATTCTCTTCAGCAACTCTTCACGGCGTAGCGATGCAAGCTCCGGATGCTTGCTTACCTGAAACCCGCCTTAGACAAACAATTCCAACCAATTCGGCACATACGTGCGCAGCCAGGTCGAGGCGGGCGACGCGAAGCGTTTAAAGTAATCCAGAAAATATCCTCACATGTTTTGGAAGTCTTGGAATTTCTGTGCATCTTGTTTATGACGCTTCGGACTTATGGTAATGTTCGCATTTTGTATCTCATATAACAGATAAAAAAAGTTATATGATGGCAAGCATATTTTACTACATTATATCATGCTATATTGTTGCATTGTATAGTATATTCTACTATTCTACATTATATTAGAATAAAGTATGTTGGACTAGATTGTCCTGTAGTATATTACACGATAGTGTATGCTAACAAATTATGAGGTGGGACGCCCCGGGGGCTCATATTTACAGTGTTTTCGAATGTGTCCTAGCGAAAACCACTGCGGAAATCAAAGGGTGGTTTAACACGTGGAAATGTACTCAGCTCCAAACCAACTCGTATTCAATCGGTTTCCGTCATTCCACATGTTAAGCTTCTTCGCTGCAAGTAATTTGCGGCATTCGTTCGAAACCATGAAAAGCCATGATGAGTCAGAAACATATATCCGTGCCAGGCGTGCATAGCATGTGCCCGCATTGATTTCAGAAGATATGGCCTCGGTGCAATGCCACATGCGGTAGATTAGAACCAAGTCTTTTGCACGTGTGTGCATCGTGTTTCATTTAAGTGGTATATATATATATATATATATATATATATATATATTCAAACGGCACTGCTTGGGAACTTGCAAGTCAACATGTATGTACCGCTTATGTAAATCAACCCTACAGTTTAGGCGGCCTAAACGGACCAACTTGGCATATTAACTTCGAACTTGAATGCTGTGGGTGTTCATGCTTATCATACAAACTATATTACCCGTACCATGTGCATGTCCTCATGTATTTAAGCTTCTACATGACAGCTTGTGGCTTAAATACATCCTATCATCATAATGGAACGGTGGTATCTTCCGACTCCTTGTTTTATGACGGAATTGTGTCTCTATGTCGTATGGCTTTGACCAGAAAGCCCCTGTATTAAATCATTGTGTACATTCAAGTATGGATCCTATTGTCAATCTCCATTGTATGTGTCTTCCAGAGGAATTTGGGGTCTCATGAAAACTTATTCTGACGAGTCCTGCGTTACTTGAAACGTCTGACATCTCGGACCAATGCGGATAGTCTCCTGACATGCAGCTTGATCTTTACCACGTCTATAGTCTACTGGCCCATTGGTTTAGAGATTTGGAGTATGTACTGGAGAAGCTCCCCCCCGTGCTTTGTATACACTCACTAACATAAAAATTTTTGTCTACATTGAAGACGCCTTGAGTTTGAGTTCCTTGCCAACGTGTGTAATACATCCGAATCTGCACGCCCGTGGTCTTCGATGGGGTTTCCATGACTTCCTTCAGCTTGACTAGTGACGAACATGACTACCTTCAGGATAAGGTTTGTTAGATGGCCCGTATACAACCGCGGCTATATATATATATATGGATATATGGTCACGCGCTCCGCAGCCGCCCCCCCCTCCCAACCCAAAGGTCAATGGTCCGGATATAGGGTGGGGCCCCCCCCTCCCCTGTTGTGTGGGGTGTGGGGTTCCTCTTCCCCCTGTGGGGTGGTTGTGGGGTTTTGGGGTTTATGGTTCAGCTTACGCTTTTGAGTTTTGGGTTTACGGTTGCAAGGTATATAAGGCTTCGAATCGACAAAGGCTTAGGGAGGATTTGCGGTGTATGCTTTGCTTGAAGCTTAGAGCCTGCAGTTAGGTGGGGTTCAGGGTTGGGTGTAGCGTTTTAAGTACAAGTTAAGCTTGCTCAAAACAGGGGCACGGGCTGCGTTATAGGGTATACGGCTTGCTTGCGAAGGGCTTGCGCGGAGCCCTGGCCGCCAGCACCACCCCACCATCCAGTGGCAGTTCCAACGGCCCCCAACCCATTCCGCACACGCCAGCCCCGCCCACCCCCATCAGACCATGCCTTTGGGGCGGGGGGGGGGGCTAGGAACGCCAGACGCCTGACCATATATATATATATATATATATATATATATATATATATGTATCCTCAACTGGATCTGTAAAGTCCACAAGTTAAACTTTGCTGATTCCTAGGATTTCTAAAGCAAGTTTGGTGTTTCGCGAACAAAAGCTTGCTTTGACACGCATTCGATTTACATGGGTTGAGATTGAAAACCCGATAGGAGACTGTGGTCTACAAACCGTCAAACTTTGTTCAGTTCACGTGCGAATTTGCTTTCTAAGCCTGTTATGTTGGAGATATGTTACCACAAGTATTGCGCTTCCTTTTTTGCGTTATATGACTATGTGGCAAGGACAACATCAACCACCACCAAACCTCTTACAAAACAAACGGAGTGCGAGCTCACTACTTGCCAACATGCTGTAAAAGTCCTGCCCCCAGTTCAGCGCACTTGGATGGATGTGTACCGCAACATCAACACTCTATGAATACTACATGTTTTCCTCGTCACTGTTTCTGCTGGTGTGAACCAGCAGGCTGAGAAGGAGATACAAGTGGAGTGATCAATTCCCCTGCATCCGAAATCCCAGACATGGCTCACACGAACGCGGAGGTTTTTACACGCAAGCAAAAGACTGAAGTTAGTGCTACGTTGGGCGTGGCACCTACAACTATGGTACATGTGTTTTGTTTAAAAGCGTGCTCAAGGCTCCAACTGTGCATAGCCTAAAGAGCGACGGAAAAATAAATGAACATGTACATCTGGCATGAGCTGCAAAGGTGGCATGCACTTCAGCACTCCTCCTTCGCGGCCCCGCCAGGGAGCTGCGACCTACTTGCTACTGCAGGTCCAACCCGTCAGGGTGACGACACACCTACCCTGAACTACCTGGCAAAAGCTGGGCCAAGTGCCCTCACTATGCGAGGGCTCTCAAGGCACCTCGTGTGGGAAAAAGACACAGCTACGGATGAGCTCACTGAGAGATCCAACCCGTTAGGGTGGAGTAGTTCCTACCCTGTGCTGTGGTGGATGTGGTCTGCAGCGCTGCCGTGGCACTGCTGGCACACTTGAAACTCAACAAACCTGTGCGAGTGGGCGAGCGTGGAACAGGTCTTAGTGCGGTGGAACTTGGTCCCTTCGGGTGTTGCAAAGTAACGCGTTGGTGCTCCACCTGCCTGCTCACGCGTGCGAGTTGTTTGTGAGGGGCGGCGTCTGGGCGCTGCAGCAACAGACTGCGAGCTTGCTGCCTCCTCACGTGCAGAGATCTCGGCCTGGATGGCCTGCGCAGTTTGATCTCGAAGGCGCTGTAACTTGCGCGCCTTGCGGGGGCTCAGAGACAACACGGGTGTCCCTGCCTCTCGGCGGGAGATTACGCCTTGAAGGCACCACTTGAAGAACTCCCACACTGCAATGAAGCAGATACCAATGCAGATGATGGATACTGCCAACATCAAATCTGCATCAAGCGACACGGGGGCAGACAAGTCTTCTTCCTCGTCCGTTGTCTGGCTGGCAGCACCTACGACCTGAAAGAAGGCTAGCAGGACAGCGAAGGCACTCAGCTGCAGGTCTTGCTGCGCCAAGGTCCCAGTGCCAAAGCAGCTTGGGTCTCACTGAAGGCCTGGACTTCCGCCCGCCGAGCTATGCCATGCTCAAGCAAGCCCCAGATGGCTGCGAGCTCAAGGATCCTCGCAGATGCGGCCTGCTCAACTCCTGGGCAGTAGGCAGGGATGATCTCGCCAGACTCATGCTGCTCTCGAAGGTAGTTGGCGCGCACCCTTAGGTGGCGGGTTCGCCAAGACCCTTGGCCGATAGCGATGGCCAGTGCAGAGTGTGAGTCAACCCTCAACGTCTTGTCGAAGCTAGAAACCCCGAACTCACTCAGCATGGCCTCTGCTGATTGAAGGGCAACTACAGCGTCAAGTCCAGCAACAAGCTCGGCTTCTGCGGTGCTGAGGGTGACAAAAGACTGTCGTGCTGAACGCCAGCACACCGGCGACCCGTGAAGGAAAACCACCCACCCCGTGTGAGAACGATTCCCTTCCGGCGCATAGCTGGCATCACTATACGCGATCAATCCTGTGTCATCCGCGTCAGCGGTGAGAGCCAGCGCCTTGGTACGCTGCACATACGCAAGGGCCTTCTCTGCAATGCGGAT